ATTATTAACATAGACTTATCTAAACTTTTTTGATGACGATAGGGTAAAGTGAAGTAAGGTACAAAATATGAATGCTTTTAAAAAGAATAGGAGCACCCCTTTAGATATAATGGATTTTAAACCTTCTTTAATACCTTTCACATCTATTCTTGAGGTTACGAGAAGTGCCATTTTTGAGGCAACAGAAAAACAGAAAACATCGCCTAAACCTCCGGCTGTACAGGGCCTTACACAGTTTAATACTTCAAGCCGTCTAAGTTTCTGGGAAAAAACCGAAAACGTCTTTTAAGAACTGAAACATCCCAGTAAGACCTGCCATAGGACGGAAAATGTGTGCGAACGACAATACAGCCAGCCAATCCGTGTATTTTCCGGGGGGAGTTGTTCGAGTCCAGTTTTGAATAGTCTGGCCGTGGTTTTGTTCCATTTCAAAGAGAGGGCCTTGACGCTCGGCCCGTACCGACTCCTTGGCGGCAGCTGCCATCTCCAACACAATCCAATTCCAGAGCTTGAAGATTAATCACGGTTTTGTCAACGCGGACCGTAGTCCCAAACGATAGATGGGGATTATGCGTAGTGGTAGTGGTCTTCGGCCATTCCCTAAAACTAAAAAATTTTCCGGATATCATATCGCATTAACAACACCCTACATCTTTCGTCACAGAGATCTCGTACTGTCCTTCTCTGGTCTTAGAGGCGAAGTAACAGAAACACGTAACATCTGGATTTGTCTTTAATGTTTTGAGTGCAATAAACGACACAAGCAGGGCCTGTTTGGCATGTTAACAACTACTTATTTCTTCTGTCCTCGCTCATCGAGAGCTAACAGCTGCGCGAAATTACAGCAGCCTCAGCCTAGCCTGATTTCAGACTGTGTGTTAAAAAAATTATTTATAAATGATCTATTATATCGTATTTATGAGAGCAAGACATAAATGGCAAAGATATGGTAGGGCGGGACCAACTATAAACCTATTGGTAAGATACGTTCCATAACGGAACGTAACGTGCGGAGAAAATAGCGTTCCCTACTAAACGTACGATTGAGAATCAGTTTAGTTCTGCTGTGAACGCGTACATTTTTAGGAGACAGTTCGTTACACCTGCATGTTGTGATGCGCTGGAAGAATTCTCACCAACAAACTCTGTTCAAGTTGGTCCATTTGGATCAGTGTTGCATAATGTCCGTGGATTGAATCCCAAGTCTGCCCTGTCTATGCTCTGGTAGAGAGTCCGACAGCTTACCCCTGAATACATGTTCAATGCTTTGCCGAGTTTCATTCCAAGGATACCGCAATAAGTTAGGTGGCGGTAACGCGTTCACAAACATTTTGGTTCGGTATGGGTACCGGGCGGGGGGGGTCCGGTTTTGCTTGTGTCACACGTGGGATATTCCCTAATCTTTATTCGAGGGAGGTTGTCTTTAAATTTGATGAGCATCATTTCATTGGATTTCACGTTCCACGATTCAGATGTATTGATTTGTCCTCAAAACCCTGTCCTCGGCACACCTCACAATAAAAAATGGCCTGCTTGTGCTTATTTGCTCTGCTTCTGCTCAAACTGTACGCTTGCACTCAGTAGCTGCTTGCACAGATTTCCTGTGTTCCAGCTTAAAACCTTCTCCTCGTAATCAGGCTGTTTCTTTGCGCTCGTCAAATGTCTGCTC